CAATAACAATGTTGTTTATCATAAGTGTCGTAATCTTGTTTATAATCAAACTTCGTTTTCCTTCAACACATCGATTGAAATACACTCTTCTGTAAACAGCGGTAAGTTTCCGGACTTACAATGCTAGAATCCGAGGTTCATTTCCCCGCGGTATGAAGGGTTCATATAGCCAATAGTTTTGAGATTTAAAAAATCAACAACATCCTTGCAATATTTAATGTTAAACTTATAATTCTAGCTTATTGTTAGGATTGTCCAGAAACTTAAGATTTATAATAAATGAAATTTATTTATTCGTTTTTCTTAACTGGTTTGTTCGTTCAGTTTTGTTTCCCTCAGTTATGGCTTGAGTTTTAACTTGTAGGCCTAGTTGACTAATTCTCCTTTCAAACTATTGAATTACGGGTGGTCCCAGTTTTACCAGCTACAAACACCTTCCATTTTGGTTGGCGACGAGGGCCTGTTACAAACTGAACTGAATATCACGTTCTTTTTACAATAATCGGGCGCCATTTTAGCTTTTTCTTCCAATGAAGTTAATAAAATGCGTGAGCAGCAGCATACGCCATAAGCTGAGAAATAGGAAGTAACCTGGTTATACTAAAAACATGATACAAATGAATGTTAGATGTAACGTCAGGCCAATGTAGATGGTATGATTATTGTCATAGCATAATATAGACCTTTCTTCTTCAGGGGCAAACATGGCAATAAGACATGAGATCAATAAGCTTAGGCTAAATAATTTCCATAGCTCGGAAGATTAAAGGCTGATTTATAAGACAATCGCTGATTGTTAATAGCAGTATTTGTTCGTTTTAGTAAGTACAAAGCTACACAATGAGCTATCTTTGCGCCGCCCACCGCGGGTATCGAAACCCGAATTTTAGTATTGTAAGCTGTGAGACTTGCCGCTGAGCTAATTGCAGTTTAGTAAACCTGGAATGCAGTATTTAACCAATTATTGATCAAACTTTTCATTCGTTAGGAAATACTTGATCCATTCGAAAGTAGAATTTGAATAATCTAAATAGTTATATGATTCGGGAATATACCTCTGACTTCTAAAGTTTTTTATTAAACTTTCTAGCGAGAATCGAACTAATAGTTTTTCTATTCTCTTTTTAATCGTCTTACAAAACTGAAAATGGTAAACTAACTTTTGTCGTGTTATTCTTTTACACAACTTACAAATAACAAATGGTATACACTTCCGTTTACAATTTTCTAGTTCGTGGTTCTTTAAATATGCAAAACAGAAGTGGCAGCAGTGCGCGGAAGTGTGAAATCAGTTCACACATTATTTTTGTGTTACATAATGGATGAAACATGTATGACTGTTAATGTTGATGATAAATCTATCTATATCGGTTTTTAATTCATGCACCAGTGTATTCAGAAATATATGCATGTATACAGTACAAGGCACGTTGTTCACATACATAGTTGGTGTTTTTAATATTATACTGAGATTTATATTGCTTCGTTAATTCACGCACTAGTATGTATGTATATTTATGTGTATCTGTGGCTGTAATGAACTGTGGGAGCATCTGTAAGCTACCAGAATTTCAGGGTGGATTGATGCTCAAAAAGCACATATTTTGAGACTGAGAACAACGGGAAAATCTAAGTGTTACATTAGGGCTTATGAAGAACTGCAAGAAACTGCAAATTTTCAGTATTTAACATTGATTAGTACAGGTGTATAGAAAACAAAAACACCCAATACAATTCTAATACAGAGCTTCACTCAGCAGAGAGAGGAGTCAGTGAGGGTATTCAGGCATAAGCTACAAGACTATGTAGTAACAGACCATGCAAAGCCTATAGACACCCAAATGAGCTGATGATACAGATTACCTAGAAGTCAGATTATGAGCAAGGTCTAATCAGTAATGTACGAAACATAAATGAAGCAAAGATTCCTCTCACGACTTTACCGAATTTGATTGAAGTAACTACACAAAAGAGGCTACATGAAAAACAGATCTACAAGCCTCAGCACACTACAATAAATATAGTAAACAATAACAGAATCAGTAAAACAAACTGCCAAAACATGCAGAACAAGCCTAATAGTTTATGATGTTTTAACTGTGGAAATATAGGGCATATGAAAAAACAACAGAAAAGAAATGAGTATATAGCATATATTAACTGTGGAATCAAAGGCCAATTGGCTGTGCCCACCGAAAGCAGAGAATGGAAACATCCCAAAAGCTGGGACTTTCAAGAGGAAGTTCCTTGGAAATAACAGTAGCCCTTATATTAACTGTGTAAACAAGAAACGGGTAATAAAGGGTAGTTCTGGCACTTTGGAATAAAAGACTGAGTGCCCATACTGTTAATGAAGTGTCACCAGTAGTTTAGTAGAAATAGAGGGCATAGCATGTTATTTTGTCCATGGTGTTAATGAAGTGTCATCAGTAGTTTTAGTAGAAATAGAGGGTATAGGATGTCATTTTTTCCACAGTGTTAATGAAGTGTCACCAGTAGTTTTAGTAGAAATAGAGGGTATTGGATGTCATTTTATCCACACTGTTAATGAGGTGTCACTAGTAGTTTTACTATAAACAGAGAGTATATCATTTCATTTTCTCCTTAGTGTTAATGAAGTGTCACCAATAGTTTTACTATAAACAGAGAGTATAGCATGTCATTTTGTCCATAGTGTTAATGAAGTGTCACCAATAGTTTTAGTAGAAATAGAGGGTATAGCATGTCATTTTGACCATAGTGTTAATGAAGTGTCACCAGTAGTTTTAGTAGAAATAGAGGGTATAGCATGTCACTTCGTCTATACTGTTAATGAAGTGTTCCCAGTAGTTTTAGTAGAAATAGAGGGTATAGCATGTCACTTCGTCTATACTGTTAATGAAGTGTTCCCAGTAGTTTTAGTAGAAATAGAGGGTATAGGATGTCATTTTGTCCATAGTGTTAATGAAGTGTCACCAGTAGTTTTAGTAGAAATAGAGGGTATAGCATGTCATTTTGTCCATAGTATTAATGAAGTGTCACCAGTAGTTTTAGAAGAAATATAGGGTATAGCATGCTATTTTGTCCATAGTGTTAATGAAGTGTCACCAGTAGTTTTAGTAGAAATAGAGGGTATAGCATGTCACTTCGTCTATACTGTTAATGAAGTGTTCCCACTAGTTTTAGTATAAACAAAGAGTAAAGCATGTCATTTTGTCCATAGTATTAATGAAGTGTCACCAGTAGTTTTAGTACAAATGAAGGGTATAGCCATCATTTTGTCCATAGTGTTAATGAAGTTCATCAGTAGTTTTAGTAGAAACAGTGGGTACATCATGTAATTTTAACACAGGCGCTCGATCTTCTCTGCTAAGTGCCGAACTAATTAATACAAATTCGACATTACTGAATAAAGTTTGGAAGGAAGTTTCTAAAAGTATTTTAACTTCCGTAAGAGGACCTACTGTTGAAATGCTAAGCAAACATAGTGTTCAGATAAAATAGGAGGCTTAGGGTTAGAACACTCGTTTTACATCTGTAAACAGATGGTATTATAGTGCAGGGTTTCGTAAGGGCTTATGACACTGAAGTACGTATCCAGGAATTTGTTAGGGACACTTTATTGACGTCACTCAGCTACCGCGAATCGCGACTACGCTGAAATTGGAATTATGGAAACCGTGAGTAGGGTTTTGAGTGAGTTAAATGTAAGTTGAATCTAAAGAACATAGAACTGTGAAAATTGTCATAACGAAATTAGGAATTGTAAGAAAAACTTTGGAAAAATAAAAATACAAGCCAGGGGGCATCTGTAACGCGTGTAATAGCGCTCAAACAGCACACAGCGAAAATAGCTCGTGGCTAAGAGGGAAACACATACAGATATTTTCCTTTATTCCAGAAGATAGAAAAATGAACTAAGAGCCTGGGATTCGAATATGGGGAGATTTTGAAAAAATTACTTTTGTTGAACACTAAATATTGCTATGGTTGTGTACCCAACTGACCACCACATTTCTATGGTTGTGTACCCAACTGACCACCACATTTCTATGGTTTCCCTGTCACTCACAATTAATACTAATTATCATTAAATGTAAAATATGGGGAGATTTTGAAAAAATAACTTTTGTTGGGCACTAAATA